TTATTTTCTAAAATTTTAATAACATTCTTGTCAAAATTTCAATTATTTTTAGAAATTTTAATAAAATTCTTTTCAAAATTCAATTATTTTCAAAAGTAATAAAATTTTTCGTAGAAATTCCATTATTTTCGAAAATTTTAACGAATATCTCGTCAAGAATTCAATTATCTTTATAAATAGCAAAATTTTTCACCAAAAATTCAATTATTCAAAAAAATAATAAAATTCGTTGCCATAATTCAATTATTTGAAGGAATTTTAATAAAATTCTTTTCCAAAATTCAATTATTTTGATAAATAACAAAATTTATCACAAGAATTCAATTCTTTGAAATGTAATAACAAACTTTGCAAAAATTAAATTATTTTCAAAATTTTTTTAAAATTCTTGTCAAGAATTAAGTTATTTTTATAAATAAATGCGAAATTCTCCTCAAAAAGTCCATTATTTTCAAACATTTTAATAAAATTCTTGTCAAAATTTCAATTATGTAAACAAAATTTAATAAAATTCTTCTCATGAATGCAATTTTTTTCATAAATTATTATTTAAATTCTTCTCCTAAATTCAATTATTTTCAAAGATTGCGATAAAATTCTTTAATTCAATACATTTCAGTAAAATTCTAATTAAATTCCTGAAATGAAATTAATTATTTTCAAAAGTTGTTAATAAAATTCTTCTTAAAATTTCAATTGCAAGAAACATTCACCTAGGGTATTCAATAAATTATTTATTTTTGTATTTAAATAATTGAATTCTCGTAGAATTATGTCTAATAAAAATTTATTTCAAAATGAATTTCTGTTTGAAATTTTAGATAGTAATTGAATATTAAAAGCATTATAGCGTGAATTTAAGAAATAATTGAATTTTGAAAAGGTTTTCAATTAAAATCTTTGAAAATTTGAATTTTTCATATTTTTAACTAACAATTCTGTAAAATTATTTTTTTTAAAAAAGTTTAATTGAATTTTTCTAAAAAATTATTTGAAGTCTTTATTTTTTAATAAATATTTAATTGAAGAATTTCCGAAAAATCAAAATTTCGTAATGTTGAATTGTAAAACAAATGGATTTAAAAATTTTCTTCAAATTACTTTTTTAAAGAATTTTTTCAAAAATTATTAAAAATATAATTGAGTTAAAGAAGAATTTTAGTTAAAAAATTCTAGAAAATAGTAATAATTGAATTAAAATGATAAAAATAATTTCGAAGAAGTTAGAGTAACAATATTTAAAGTTAAATATTTTAAAGTTTGAATTTGAAATTTTTGAAAACTTTATTTTCTGTGGAAAAGTAATAATTAAATATTTATTTAAAAATGAAGTTATTAATGTTTTCGAATAATTTCACAATTAAAGAAATTCGTTAGTAAATGTAGTAGAACATTTTTTTTAGTCATTTTTTGAGTGAATCAGAATATTTTTTAGAGCCAGGGAAAAAGTGAAAATTTTGTCTGGAAATCAGGGAAAAAGAAAATTAAATTTTTGTTGTAACCCTGTAATAAATTTTCTAATAACATGTAAAAATATTATTTTATATATTTATTATTTTTGTTCGGAAAAATAAATAAGATTTGAGTAAAAAATTATTATTTTGTTGATATTTGAGAGTATTTGATATTTAGATCCGTAAAAGTTGATCTATCTGAAATTTAATGCAAATGAATATTTTTGAGATAAAGAAAATAAATATATATATAATTTTTTTTTTGAATTTAACTCGCGAATCGAACGGTACGAAACTATAATTAGGTCCACATTGGTCAAACAGTAGATTATCCTATCTCTATATGTGAAGTCGTGATAGTCGCCGGATATTGCTTTGCTATTTAAGTCACAGATTACTTGCGCGCCACTTTGTTCGTTTTCGGGGTGAAACGACCAGAGCCAGACACTCGCAAAGCATTTTCCGACCCAATTTCAAAATCCGTTATGTAATTATGAAAGTTCGACTGCGTTTCCGCCTTGCCACTCTCTGTGCGGCAAACAACATTTCTTGTGTTATAATAACTAAAACAAAACATCAAATTCCGCCGTTTCAGTCTCCTTCTATTTTCTCATCGTAAACATGCATCTCTCTTGTAATATTTCCCTCTCTATTATTTTCCCTTTTTTCACAAATCGGAAATTACGATACAATATTCTATTATATATTAGTTTTTTATTTTATTTTTTTTATTATAAATTACAACTTATTCAAAAAATTTCGCTAATAAAATAAAATTAGTAGATGTTTCAGATAAAATATTTTTGCCTCATTAATTTTAATTTCAAGGATAGGAATTAAATTCAAAAGGAACTAGAGGAAAGGAAATAAATCTAATTCTAAATAAATAACTGATAATTCACTTAATTCAATTTATTTAATTTGTTTAGTTCATTGAAGTAAATTAATTTATTTAAGACTTGTATAATTCTCTCATAAAATATAAAAATACGATTTCGGAATATTTTACACTGAAATAAAGTTTTTTCTCGCAATTTCAAAAAAAAGAAAAATAATAATTTAATAAAAGTTTACAAGAAATTGTCGATTTGAAGTGAACTTTTTCTTTTTTTCGCAATTTACTACTATACACTTGGAAAACTCTCTCTTTCTTTCTTTTAATTAAAGAAATTTTTTATATACAATGCAAAACTTAAAAGTACTGCTTTTTACAATTTATATAAGAAAAATAAATCCTTTTCATTATTTCTTTTGACTGAGTCAAATATACTTTCTGGGTCAATCAAAAATTTTCTCTCTTTTATTGTTCATTTTTTTCTTTCTATTTTCATTTAATAAATTTTATCCTTTCTGTTTACATTCTTTTTTCCACTATATTATTTTTTTACTATTTATCACTTTTTATTATTTTATATTATTGTTATTATTAGTATTTATTATTTTTTTTTGTGTAAACACAAATTTTTTTTTAAATTATTCACTATAACTTTAATTTCTTTCACATTATTCGCATTAGATTTTCTTAAAATAAAAAAAGTATATTTAGAGGTATATTACACATTTTTTAAAAATTATTTTTATCGTGTATCTACTGATTTGAATCGGATGAATTTTGAACATTTTTTTTCTTTATTTAGTTCTATATATAGTTCAAGAGGGGGAGAAAATTAAAAAATATATGCTATAAATTCTTGTGTTATTAATTGAGTAGGTAGTAATTAAAAAGTAGGGCTGTTATAAAAGAGGATACTATTTTTGACTGAGATGAAAATTAGTATTTATAATAATAGTACCAGAACTTTATCTCTACTATTTTATTTACTATTTATGCACCCGGAGAAAAATTTTATTTGAGTATATTTTTATTTTTTCTCTATTATTTATATATTCATTTATTTGTTTTTTTTTATCTCTACTTGCTTATTTATTTTCTTTATACTTATAATTTCTATATTTATTTATTATTTATTTATTTTGATTTTTTATATTTAGTATTGTTTATGCACGTTAAAAAATAAATAAAAACAAAATGTTCAGTTTGACTAATAACATTGTCGTTATACAATAAAAAGTATTTTTGTTTCCAAGCAAATAAATTGAAATCAAACGGAACAAGTTTTCGTAACAAATTTACGTGTGTCAATTGAGTGCGGACATGAAGTTTGAAAGTCAAATATTGCGGAAATTTCAAATCGATTTTTTCATCTATAATTTTCCTTTTAGTATTGATTTATTTATAAAAACTTTTACTCATTCGCTTTTATAAAATACATATATATGTATATATATAAATACTGCATTGGAATATATAATTCTGAAATCAATAGACTAATGTAGCACGTTATTCTGCAGTAAACGTTACATCAATCTGTATTATTATTATTATTATTTTTTTTTTTTTGGAAAATTTTTTTATAAAATAAATAATAAATTTTGTAAAAAGACATTTTTGTGAATAATAATATCAAATTTTACTAATGATTTCTTTACGAAATTTTAATAAATCCTTCGAAACAAGTCAATTATTTTTATAAGTATAGTAAAATTCACCGCAAGAATCACATAATTTTTTGTAAATAATAAAATTCTTTTCTGGAATTCAATTATTCTCAATACAATTTTCATAATTTTAATAATTTTAATCTTCAAAAATCATGTATTTAATTATAATAATTAACAAGCACGATTATTTTAAAAAGTTTAAAAAAATTCTTTGTTTAATTCAATTATTTTCAAAATAAGTTTATTTGAAATTTTTTTTAAATTCTATTATTTTCCAATTTTTTAATTAAAATTCTTCAAAAATACAATTACATTTCAACATAATTTTTAAAAGTAAACAAATAAAATTCATTAAAATATTAAATTTATTTCAATAAAATTTGACAAAATTTTCAATTGTTTCAATTTTTTAGAATTATTTTCAGAAATACAATTAATTTAAAAAAATTTTTTATTACATTTTTTCAAGAAACAAATTTTTTCGGAATTTCTTAATTAAATTATTCAATACTTTTTGTTAAAAAAAATTTAAAAACTTATTCTTATTTATTTTTCCACAGGAATTAAAATTTCAAATAATTTCAATGAAAAACCTCATGAAATTTAATTATTTCTAAAAATTGCAACTGTAATTCTTTCAAAATTCAATTATTTTTTTTAGAATTTAAATTTACACTATAAAATTGGAATTATTTTCAATTATTATATATAATAATTATTTTAATATAATATTATATAAAATAAATATAAAAATAATAATTATAATAAAAAATATAAAAATAATAATTTTTGATCATTAAATAGTAAAATAAAAAATAGTGAGCAGTTGGGGAGTAAGAAGGCTTGTAAATTGATATGCAGAGGGAAAAAAAATTGTAGACAGGGGAAAAAAAGCTCGCGCAGCCGCTATGCGCCTGCGCAATCCTTTTTTCCCCTGTCTACAACTTTTTTCCCCTCTGACGTCACCCAGTCTATAAAATTCCATTTTCAACCCAAAACGAGATTTTAAAACAATTTTTCAATGGAAAAAAAATTCTTTTTCAGCCAGAAGACACTTTTAAGTCAACTTTAAATTCACCTGAACTTCAAGCAACGGGAAAAAAAGAAAATGAAAAATAGTGATTTTTAACGCGACATAAAAAAAGCCCAGAAGAACAAAAGTGATTGAATTGGTGTTTTTTTTTTATTTACAAAAGAAAACCGTGTGTTGAATAATTGGAGAAAGGAGAAAATTAATTGAAATTAGTTTCTAGTGTGATAATAATCAGAGTAAACCGCCCCCTGATTAGAGGGGGGTGGGTAAAGTTGTCGTCAGAGTGGGTGCCGGTGCGGCTTGGGCGCGCCTTGCCCGTCGGCTCGCCCGCAGACTAGCACGTCGCTTCGTTGAAATTTTGGGCCCATTCCCGGGACAAGTAGGGCTGGCTACTTCGGGCCAAGCACACGGCGCCGCTGGGGTGGCCCAGGGGGGGGAGCAGTTCAACGCTCCCCCCACCACCGAGCGCCAAATCACCCCGCCCACCAGTTCCAGCGCCACCTGGACCTCCAGCCGCACGAGGGTGCGTGCCATGTCGATGAGGTGTCTTCATCGGCGAGTATCTCATCCGTAAGTTGACACTTCATTTTTTCACATCTCTACTATTTCTACATTTTTTTTTTCTATTTATCATAGTTCGCATGTTGCTATTTTATGCCGAGGGGATTTTAATTTAGGGATTTCCTGAAAATTTTTAAAAAGTCGAAGTGGTTTTTGGAAACGGTTCCGAAATTTTATGGAAACTAGTCTTGAAAGTTTTCCATGTGGAAATACTTCCATACATGGATTCCTATGAAAAATAAGGAAATATTCTCTTGTATTTTTAAAATAACCAATTTCTAGTAAATATAATTAAATGATTTTTTTTAATTAGAAAAATAATTAATTTTAAGAAAAATAGACTTACTTTGTGGATCTGGATACATGCGGAACCTACAAGAAAAAAAACAGTTGGTCGTTAATTTTTATTACATTTTTGCAGGGCTCGAATCAGTGAAAGTACTTAAAAATTTAAAATACGGAATATACGGACCAAAAATTAAAAATTACGGACCAATTTCTGACAAAAATTTAAACACTCAGAGATAAATAAGAGAACATTTTACTTAAAACAAGAAATTAAATTTTTCATAACTATAAAACATGAATTTTTAACTAAAATTCTTCTTTAAATCGATTATTATATTATAATTTTTAATAATTTTCGAAAAAATTTTTTGTCAATTTTCAAATCTATTTATTTACAATAATAGTCAATTTTACGAAATTTTAATTATTCGTAAATTCTTCAATTAAATAAATATAAGAAAATAAAAACTTAAAATAATATTAAAAAAATTCAATTAAACTTTTTCAAAAAAATTAATTTCAAAATTCAATTATTAATAAAAATTCACGCTACATTGATTTTAATATTATTCAATTACCTATTATCTAAAATTTTAACTAAAATTCATTTTTAAATCAAAATTTTCATTAAAAAATTCAACGAGAATTCAATTATTTAAATACAAATTTAAATGTAAAAATGCAAATAAATAATTTATTGAATAATTGAATGTTTCTCAAAATTCAATTCCCATAAAGAATCGTTATCAACAAATTCTCAAATAATTGAATTCTTTCGACGAATTTTAATAAAATTTTTATGAATAGTTACGAGAAAATATTTTAAGAATAGTTTTCGAAAAATTCGATTAAAATTGTAATAAAAATAATTGAAATTCTGCAATGAGTTTTATTATTTGTGAAAATAATTGAATCACTAAGAAGAATTTTATTTCTTTCGAACAATATTTAATTTTTGCTTCTACAAATCCATTATTTTTAATAATTTTCGAAATAGTTGTTTATAAGAATTTTCAAATTCATTTTTTTACAATTCAATTTTACAAAATTTCAATTCTTCGTAAATTCTTCAATTAAATATATATTAGAAAATAAAAATTTTAAATAATTTTAAAAAAATCCGCAGTTAAAGTTTTTTATAAAAATTAATTCCACAGAATTGTAAGTTAAAAATATGAAAAATTGAAATTTTCAAAGATTATAATCTGAAACCTTTTTAAAATTCAATTATTTATCAATTATTAATTATTTATCATTACGCTGTAATGCTTTTTATATTCAAAAATTATCTAAAATTTCAAACAAAAATTCATTTTGAAATAAATTTTTATTAGAAAATTCTACGAGAATTCAATTATGTAAATAAAAAAATAAATAATATATTGAATATTTTGTCGAATGTTTCTTACAATTAAAATTTTAAGAATAATTTTATTAACAACTTCTGAAAAATAATTAATTTCTTTTAAAGAATTTAATTAAAATTTTACTAAAATTTATTGGATTAAAGAATTTTATTGCAATTTTTGAAAATAATTAAAAACTTTTGAAGAATTTTATTAGAAATTTTTAAAAATAATTGAATTCACGAGAAGAATTTAAATAATAATTTATGAAAAAAATTGCATTCATGCGAAGAATTTTATTAAATTTTGTTTAAATATTTGTAATTTTGACAAGAATTTTATTAAAATTTTTGAAAATATTTAACTTTCTGAGAAGAATTTCACTACCTATTTATAAAATTAAAAATAACTTAATTCTTGATGAGAATTTTTCAAAAATTTTGAGAATAATTCTAGTTTTGCAAAGTTTTTTATTACTTCTCAAAAGATTTGAATTCTTGTAATGAATTTTGATATAAATCAAAATAATTGAATTTTAAAAAAGAATTTTATTAAAATTCCTTAAAGTAATTGAATTATTGAAACGAATTTTATTATTTTTTTTGAATAATTGCATGTTTCTTAAAATTGAATTCTCATAAAAAATTGTATCTATAAATTTTTAAATAACTGAATTCTTTTGACGAATTGTAAGAAAATTTTTCAGAATAATTACATTTTCGAGGAATCCGATTAAAATTGTATTAAAAATAATTGAAATTTTGCAATGAGTTTTATTATTTATGAAAATAATTGAATTCTTAAAAAAAATTTTATTATTTACGAAAGAATTGAATCCCCGTAAAAATTTTATTCGAGCCCTGTTTTTGATAAATGTTTTTTATAATATAACAAATTATTTCTATTAGGGATATTTAAAAGAAAATTTTTAATGAAAAAAAAAAATTTAATTGATTCAAGTAAATTTAGTTGTTACTTGAATCAAATAAATTTTATTTATGAGTAAATGAAGTTGTGATTTTGAATCAAAATTTTCAGTATTTAAAGCAAGCAAAAAAAATTTCATCTGAAACAACTAATAAAAATTGTATTATATATTAGGAAATTTTAATGGTTAATTAATAATTAATTATTTTTTATTAATTAATGAAGCAAAAATTCAACCAAGGGTTTACTAATAATTAGTTATTTTTAACTCGTTTTTAACTTATTAAGATTTAGAGAGCAATTGGAATGAATATTTTTATTCTTTGCGGGTTAATAATAAAATAAATGACTTTATATTATATATTTTTTCCTCGTAACAAAAGAACGAACAAAAAAAAAAACTGGAAAATTATACCTGAATTAGAAGAAAAATTCGTACGTGAAAGTGAATTTTTTATATTTCGTGAAGAGAAAACCATTTTCTCGAGTCCCTATATAATTTTCAATTTTTTTTCTTCTTTTTTTTAAATAGAGAAAAAATGGAGTGAGTTGAAAAAAAAATTTCAATTGTCTATTGGACAAATACACTGTTGGATTATATGACGACTTTGGCTTATTCTCAGTAGTAAAGGTTCAGCTTTAGTCAGACAAGGCGCAGAAGAATGGAGAACGCTTTATTGGAATAAAGTATAAATGATGCTGACATTTATGTGAGGTTCTTTTTTTATTCTTTATTCCTTTAGTTACAACATTGTCGTAAAAATTGGTTTTCTTAGAAAATTATTCTTATTATTTAATTTTACAATTTCTCAATATTTAATTAGAAAAATGAATCAATTTGAGGCTAAAAATTTTATTAAAGAAAATTTTTTCTTTTTTGTGGAAAAAATTAATATTTCTGGTATACTGTAATATATATTTAATAAAAATAAATACTAATCATATAAAAATAAAAATCATATAAAAAAAAATTATTTTCATTATTAGGTTTTATTATTATTATTATTTTTATTTGTATTTCAAATTCAATATTTTACGCTTTTTCTAGTTAATTGTTAAAAAATAAGTTAGAGATATTTATTATTATTGTTATTAGTAATTAAATTTGTATGAACATTTCAGTGGGTAAGATGATATTTTCTATTGTTTTCTTCCAAGTGTTTTAAATCGTTGCTAATAAGCGTGTGTGTATCTATTGCTGAATGCCGATCATTCTTCCACGACAGCTATTTCCTTTATTTAGTAATTTATTGCGTGCAGTCGATTGGCTATTGTATTGGCGTCGGTTAGTTCACTCATTGTTGGCAACGTATGGAAACCATTTCTGGAATTTTCGAGACTAGTCTTTTTTTCTTTTTTTTAATCCTCATAATGTATTCATTTTTAAATACTTCTATAAATAATTGTTTCATAAAGATTAAATTCATTAAATTGCATACAAATTTTTTTATAATATTTTCATTTTAATAAAAAAATAAAATATTTATTTATTAAATTAACGTTTTTTTACTTATAATAATAATAAATAAATAATTATTATTAACGCTATGAAAAATTTTTTTTATTAAATTTCATTCAATAAATTAATTTTTCAATTTTCGTTTTTAATTTTTTTTTATTTTGTTTTAATTTATATAGAGAGAATTTGTTTGTTTGCAATATGAATTAAAACACACAATGAACGAGGCAATTATTTTTTGAAAAGTAATTGAAAATTAAAAATAATGAACTTTTATTTTTTTGACACGTAATAAAAATAAATACAAAAGAATGAAAATATTGTTTTTTTTTGTAAAAATAAAAAAATTCGCTAAAAATAGAAAAATGAGAAAATATTCCTAAAATGAAAATAAAATAAAAATGGAGAAAAAAAACAAAAGTCGAAAAATATATTTTTAGAAAAAATAGACAGTAATCAATGTTGACAAAAAGAGAATTGTATCTTTTTTCAAACACAAAGTTTATTTCGAAAAGTTCTTTTAATATAATGAGTTTTCTGAACTGTCACAGAAGCGGGGAAAACCTTTTAAGGGAAAATTATATTTGAATTTTATGGCGTAAGGAAAAATAAAAGAAATTTAAATGAGAGCTAAGGGAACAAATTTATTTGAAACGTTTCCAAAGTTTCTAACTTGATGGATTCCTAATTTTAAACTTGAAAATGTTTTCACATATATATAAAGTTTTACTTTCAAAAAAGTTATTGACATTGAAAAATTCCTAAAAAATTAATTTTTCCTGTCAATTTTTTCCTCTGCGAATTATATTAATTTAATGATAAAATATCATGGGGAAATTTTTAATAAAATTTTAACGTTCGAACGACGTATTTTTAAAATATATTTAGAAAACAATTTATGTTTTACTGAAAAATAAATCAAAAACAGCATTTAAATATTAAAAGGAATAAAAATTGAAAAATTAATTTATAACAAAATTTAAAAAAAT